GTGTCCAGCAGTATATGCTGAAGGGATGAGGACGACCTTCACACACAATGAAGGATATGTAACTCGCAAAGAAACTGAAGAGGAGATCATTGGATTGACACACGCGGCCTACAAACGCGGGAATTTTGATCAGATTGCGCCTTGGAAGAAGGAGGGAAAACTGGGAAGAGCCTACACCTTGCCAAAACATAAAGACACGGAAAAATATAGGCCGATATGTCCAACCTTCAGTGAGGTGGGGAATGCGGCATGTAGGAAGATAGCACGCGCACTGAATGGTATGCTGTTTGCAATTCCTGAGAGTCAACACTTCAATTTGAAGTCCGTCTCTGATCTGCGCGGGAGACTGAGAGGGATTAACCAGAGTATGCGTCGTGTGTGTAAGAATGTGCAGATCGCGGCTAGCTCGTACGATATCAAGGAAATGTTTAGTAGACTCCCGCATGCAACTATCGTACGAGCTGTCGACTGGTGTATCTGGTGGTTTGAGTCGAAAGGATTCCAGGGTGTGTTTGTTCGACGGAGAGGGAAAGGCACCTCGTTCAGCAGGCAGGAAAGCCTGGACGGTTTTCAGTTTGTAAGTTTTGGAATGATCCGGGGTTTTGTAAATTTCGAGTTGGAGGGTTGCTTCACGATGGCAGGAAAGATTGTTCTGCAACAGGTTATAGGGATCCCGATGGGAAACTCAACCAGTCCCCCGTTAGCATGCATGATGTGCACAAAAGCTGAGTGGGATTTTCTGATGGCACTAGGCAGCGATAGGCGATTAGTGGCCGGCATTCGCTATGTCGATGATGCGTCGCTTTTTGTAGCCTTTGACCATCCGAAACCCGAATCGAGGAAAAAAGCCGATGAGATCCGGGTCAAATTTGAGAATTGCTATGACAAGGCGTTGACCTTGAAAAAGACTGATGACGGGGAAGATTCGTGGGATTGCTTGGGATGCCGCTTGAGCGTGAGGAAGGATTTTCCTTTCCTTGGGTGCTGTCTAACAATGAAGAACAAGAAGGAATTGGTGGAGGGTGCGGAGTTGATATTCAGAGTTTTCCAAGACTTTGAGTCATGGTCTAGCAAGAAGTCGGAGATGGCGGTGGTTATGAGTGCGCTGCACAGGATCCATCAGAACTCAATGACGAGTTTGGGTCTGATCGAAACACTCCTGTTACTGAAAGTGGAATTAAGGAGGAGGAGATACCCCGACCATTTCTTCGCAAGGGCACTCAAGAATTTCGCCAGGGATAAGAGCCCACTTTGGAAACTGCTGGCCGAACTCCTGGGAAAAGAGTGGAACGGTAGAGAGTGTACACGTAAGGTTAGCTCTCGCCGGTAGTGGAGTTCGCTTCCCCCACCAGGAAACATGAGTGGCGCGGAGGAAGGGGATTGAGGGAGGGAGAGAATGAGAGCGAGTGGGCGAGTGAATGAATGTATGTCTAGATTTACCTTTGAGTGTTTTTGGAATGCATGTCAGTCTCGTATAGACTAGATGGGATGTTTGCTTTGATTGGTGTGTTGTGTTGTGTTTTGCAATAGTCTGTACGTAGATAGGCTTTTCGAACGGCATGATTGACCTCTAGCGTAGACTGTTCCCGTCCCCGTCCCGCGTTCTTCTTTCGGGGCTGAGAACCGGGCTGATATGGGACCTGGGATTTTTTCCTCGTGTATAAGCAGGCTGCTTACCTTGGAACTGGTCAGTACCAGGCAGTGGTCTGACCCATTGGACATGGCCTGTGTAGAGCAAGCAGGTCTGTCAGGCAACAACAAGTTTTTTGAATTTAGTTTTTTGAATTTGTTTTTTGAATTTGATTCTACTGAGGTTCTGTTGTTTCGCGCGGTCTGTGTCCCTCGCCTGTTTTTGGGACCAGGCCTGGAGCTCGTAGGTTTTTTGCATATTAACTGGCGGACAAGTCTGTTAGACTCCTCTTCGGTACCTCACCGAAAGGGAGTCATCAGCGCCATGCGCGACTCTTCAGAGATGATGGTTGGCTCGGGGGTTCTTGGGGTTGCGGACTCTTGGACGGGAGGTTTTGCGCGACTGCACTAATTACGGCATTTTCTAAGCCGAGACAACTCGATTGCTTCGCTTTGCTTTGCTTTTGCTCTGGTGTGCAAGTGTTTCGCGTGTCATCTTTGCTTCAAGCCCCACTTGTCGAGGTTTAGTTCTATTTTCAAGTATGCAGGGATCTGAAAATTCCACGGCCACGGTGTGACCACATTGAAAAATACACGAAACATAAACTAACTCCACGCTTGTGGGACATGGCCCCGGGGCTAGGTCCCACTTGCGCGGATTAAGAGATACTGACCGTAGATAGCAAAGATGAACGGCCAAAATCTCCTAATTTGCGCAAGTGGGACCTTGCTCCCGGGGAAACCTCACAAACACCCGAGTGAAAAGGTATGGAAGCATTATCCAGCTCAGCTTACAGGGTGGCCCCTGAGTGGCTCACGGCCAATCTTGCATGCAGCTCTGGGCTGCTTGTTGCCTACAGGCTAGCCTCTTCTAGTCTACAAAATCCTATTTATTCTAGTCTATTCTAATTACTGCCCCTAAATCGGGATGCTTAGGACATACTCACACGCGGACTTTTTTGGGAAAAGTCGGAAAACCTCCCCCGACGAAACCTTTGTATCCATTTCCTCCCACACGAGGAAAAAGGTGCGGAAGGCCCCAAAATCACTTTGGGCGTCATTTTGCACTCTGCAAAACACTTTCCCGCCAACTTTACACAGCGGCGTTAACCCAGCCAGAAGGGTGCAAAAATGACCCCAAAAGTGATTTTTGGCGTCATTTATTGCACCTTGCAAAACACTTTCCCGCGATTTTACACAGGGGCGTTTACCCGCCCAGCCAGGGTGAAAAAATGACCCCAAAGTGATTCTGGGACCTGCGGCACTTTTTTTCCCGTTTCCCGTTTGGGGAAATGGATACAAAGGTTTAGTCGCGGGAAGGTTTTATGACTTTTCCCGACTCTTCTACTTGTTTATGGACGTAATTCCGGTCTGCTGCATCCAAGTCGGCCGTAAACGCTGTCGGATACCTATAAAGATGGCGGTAGTGTGAGTATGCTCTTACCCTTTCCAGGGGCAGGGTCCCGCTTGCACGGATCACGAGATTTCGGCCGTTGATCTCGGCTATCTACGGTCTCTATCTCTTAATTCGTGCAAGTGGGACCTAGCCCCAGTTCGGCAGGCCGAGCCTTCCGAAGAAGTTAGCGTTCATCCAATTCCATTCGTAGGATCTGAACCTATGTTCTGTTAGCTACTCGTCGTTAGACGCCGTATACACGGCGCCATTTTTTTTTTTTGTTTGTTTTATTATTATTATTATTTTTTTACCAAACACGGTGCCATTTGGCCACACGGGCTGGGCGCTACCAAGGAAATTCGCATGACCGCCAGTACGTCCGAGCCAGCGCGTTTTTGCTTGGTGCTGCCAGCCTTTCCTGGCGTTCGGCAGGCCGGGCCCTCAAGGATAAGGAGTGCTGACGAGTGACCGCCACTTCTGATCGAAATAGGAGGGGGGGGAGGCGGACACAAAGATGTGACGCACGAATGAAAACGAACGAAGGGTACGGGGAAGATGAACATGGCCGTTCCACGAGAGACGAGGACATGCACCAGTTGGGGAAAAAGGAAAAGGAAAAGAAAAACGAAAACAGAAGGTTGCAGCCTCAGCCTCCAGAAACGGGGATGAATTCCAAAAAAAAAAAAGCAAAAAACGGGGATGAAGAGAAAAATCAAAGGTTGTCAGAAGGCAAGCCTGGAGACAGCAACAAGGGAAAAGGAGAAAAGGAGAAAGGATGGTTCTGATTCGGAGCCGTTGAATGTGGTCTGAAATGGATATGGCTTCAATCGCGGGAGAGAGGAGAGGCCGTGAAGACACGGAGGAGGGAGCGACAGAGGAAGAGGAGGAATACTCTTTCTTTCTCTTCTGTTAGATACGGTACATGCTTATCTATGAGGTCGTGAACTCGCCATCACAAAGATTTTGAACGCACTTGGATCATTACCAGCTCCATATACATTTCGAATTGTATGTCGTGGAGCGATTTCCGTAATGTGAGATCGCGTGCGGAAGATAACCGTTCGACTACAAAGAGAAAGTGGGAATTTGCACTACTGAGGCAAAGAACAAACCGCGACGTCTCTCCACTGGCCATGGGGACCTCATCAGCACCACCTCCACCAAATGCCCCTCGCCCCCTCCTCACTCCATACCTTACCTGGCTGCTGCTGCGGCAAAGAAGAAAGCGCGGTTCGGTCACAAAGGAAAAGAACGAAGAGAAGAGAAGTAGCAAAATGGACCAATCATCTTTTTGCGTGCTGTGGGGTCCTCCGTTTCTCTCATTCGTGCGGAGGGACGGTTCTGACCTTCCCCCTCTCTCTATTGTGTGTTTCTTTGTTTGATCTTAATTTCTAAACTGAAGCCCCAGAGATTCCTGAACGAGAACGCCCGCTTAACCCATCTGAGGCCTTTCTTTTTCTTTCTTCTTTTTTTTTTCTTCGGAACGAGAAATCCTCGCCAGACGAAGGCAACTTACGATAGCGACCTCTAACTCATCGAGGTGAGATCAAGCAACAGTGAAGAGGGTGGGGTGGAAACGGAGGATGAAGGGAACCCCATTTGGCAGGTGCTAATCTAGCCGTTTTCTTCTCTCCCCCTGGTTTATCTGCCGTACGTCTCTGCACCTTCCTCCTTTCCCCCTACCACCCCCACCCCCCCCTCTCTCTCACACACACACACACACACACGCACACACACACACACACACACACACACACACACACACACACACACACACACACACACACACACGCACGCGCGCGCACACACACACAATTGGCTGCGGGGAGAGTCTTTTGTGTGTGTGTGTGTGTGAGAGAGAGAGAGAGAGAGAGAGAGAGAGAGAGAGAGAGAGAGAGAGAGAGAGAGAGAGAGAGAGAGAGAGAGATGTTTTTAGTGTTCGAGGAACGTTTCTGATCGATTTCACGTAGTTTCGGCAGCGAGGTTGCATGGAAGGGAGGAGGAGAACGTTGTTGTGAGCGGCGGCAGCAGGCAGTAGTTGGGGCGGAGCGGTTTGGCCGAGTCGAAGCGGGTGTGTGTGGAAGACGAAGAACAAGCGGGCGTGTGCCGAAGAAGAAAACGTCATCACCGGCGCCATCGACATCGCCATCGCCCACGCGATTGCGATCGCCATGGCGAGGCTTAGCGGGTCCAGACCTGGACGGCATGGACCCGGCGGAGTGACGCGTGCACTTGTGGTCTTCGCATGCACGGTGGCGATGGCGATCCTCGCCTGCCTGCTTCATCCTGCTTCGGCGGCGGGAAGGAGACACCTTCTCCAGGGCGACGAGGTTCTGACGTCGCCCTTGTCCATCTGTGCGACGCTCGTCGACACCCGCTTGGTCGCCGAGTGCCGTGGTATCTTGATGACCACCCCCAGCGCTGATTTCGTCCCCTCCGCACCTGGGGAAACCTGCGAGGCCCACGCCCGTAACGTTGTCATCACCAACAACAGCATGAGGCTCTACTACATCCTCGATCAGTTCTGTTTCCTTAACGAAACCAGGACGCGTCAGGCTTTGTCCTACTGGTCTGCGGACCTGCAGGGCGTCGACACGGGAGTGGTCACCGCAGCCCAGGGCACGCTGCTTACCCATTGGTGGAACAGCTCCGCTGTCAACGGCCCGGCGGAGACGGAACCCACCGTCCGCCACACCTGGGGCATTGTAACGGCAGATATGGTTCCCATGGTGTACGCGTACGGCCTCGAGCTGTCGCGGGGTGAGTCCCATCTCTTCGTGAGCGCCTTCACGTTCGACTCCCCCACCGTCACCTCCAATATCTCATGGGTCGTCATGATCGACGTGGCAGATGGGTCGCGTGTCTCGATCCCGGTCGGCGCGCATCTGGGCTACGGAGTGGCTTTTAATCCAGCCAAGACTCAACTTTACTTCTCCGATGCGTCGGCTCCTCCCAGGATACTGGTGGCCGAGATGACCGGGATCGAAACCCTCAACACGTCGAACTTTCGCCCGATGCCTCTGATTAGCTTCGCCGCGGCGGCGGGTGTCAGTCGGCCCATTTTCAGCGCCCACTCTTTCACCGCCAATGGCTCTTGCCTCTACTTCATCGACGATAATCACGATCGAGTGCTGGCTTTGAACCTGGTCTCTGAGACGGTTGCCATCATTGCGACCGAGAGCCCGTCCGCCCTCCTAGTGGCGGACGAAAAGGCCAGTAGCTTTCGTGGGAGGTTCGGAGAGGTGGCCACGACCTCGGACGGTCTGAACGTCTTCGTCTCGGATTTTGAGGGCATGCTGTGGCAGATTACACTAGAGCAAGCTTGCGGAACGCCAATGTCGAAGTCCATAGTAGCTAACTACCAAGGGGGAGGTGTGTGGGGATTGATTGTGAGCCGTGATGACCTTTACGTTTACGTCGGAACGGCAGACGGCCACATCACCCGGCTTGGCCTCAACCTACCCACCCCGCCGCCTGCTTAACGCTGTCTTGGAGACTTCACTCTCCCCTTCCCTATCTTCTTCTTCCTCCTCCTCCTCCTCCTCCTCCTCCTCCTCCTCCTCCTCCTCGTTTAGATCCAGCTTGCAGAACGCCAAAGTCGAAGTTTGTAGTAGCAACGTGAGAGATTAGAAGGGCGCTGGAACTCCTCGTTGTCAGCATTGCCTCACCAATGATGAGAATTACACATGCGCCGGGAGGGCAGAAGATAGCGACGCGGATGATTGCTTAATGTGCTCCGCGAGACTCGACGTCTACCTACTTATCTTCCTCCTCCTCCGCCTCCTCCTCCTCCTCCTCCTCCTCCGCCTCCTCCTCCCCCTCCTCCTCACCACCTGCCTCCAGAAACAGAGCGGCACTAGCATCCCAGAGTAGATAGAAGAGAGTCGCAGTGGCCCGCTTAATCTTCGTCTTCTTATCGTAGCTGGCACCTACCACCTGCCAATCAGATTAGACTCACCTCTCCCCTCCCCCCGCGCGTAATCCTCCTCCTCCTCCTCCTCCTCCTCCTCCTCGTTTCTCATTTTGTTCTTTTCGGTAGCTATTTTAGCTCTCATGGATTTAAGCGATTGCGCCTTCGATGTCATTATTAGTGTATTCTTAATGATTGGTACTTCCCGCAAATCCTATCCTGATTGGTTGGATTCGCGCCCTCGTCGCCAAACGGTCAGCACCTCCCTCCCTTGTCCTTCAAGCCCGTCCTTTCCTTCTTTTTTTTTTTTTTTTCTTTTTTCATTTTTTTTTTGCTTCGCAAGAGATGTTATAATTTAATTCAGTGTTACTGGCAACGAGCTGCTGCCCTGGGTTTAATCCCAGGGTTTCACGTCTGTTCTCGTTGCTGCCTCCCGTTCCTCGTGACGAATTCTTCAGGTACGAACCATTTAGCAGCTTCCTGCTCTTCAGGAGCGCGGCTTCATTTTGCTGTGTATTATTTAGTTCTTCCGTTTCGGGCGATTGTTATGGATTACAGTTGCTGTTTTATCAAATTGTATTCTTTCTTGTGTAGGAATAAGACTCTCTCTCTCTCTCTCTCTCTCTCTCTCTCTCTCTCTCTCTCTCTCTCTCTCTCTCGGGAATTGGTTTATGTTATATGTCTTTTTTTACTACTGCTTTGGACATGTGGTTTGTGAGGATTGCAACTATTAAATTCGCCATTTATTGATTCTCTGCTCGTTTGATCGAGTTTTGACGATTGATTGGTTGATTGATTGGTTGATTGATTGGTTGATTGATTGGTTGATTGATTGATTGATTGATTGACTGATAAATCGAGTGACTGATTGATTAAGCGAGCCCGTTGCGGGATTGACGATTGGTTGGTGGATGGACGAGCAGGATGAAAGACTGGATAAATGGTATATGCGTTCGTGCTTGTGAAAATTGCATGCGATTCGATACGTTGTGCAAGTTGCGGCTCAGGATTTTTCCTGCCCTTCGTGTCCGCTAAAAGCGGAAATTCACCTACGAGCCTAGCTCAGTTGGTACACCCGTGACCTGTTGAAAATACGGCCAAGTTAGATGCAATCAGATGATCAGAATCAACTAACTCTGAGTTACCCAGGGCGTTTAGTCGAATGATGATATCTCAACGCCGTCTCCCTTTTTCACGAATAAAGAAAACAAAAATCGGGAGATTCGATCACTGCTAATTAAATGTCTGTCGTCTGATTCGAACACGTGATTACCTCACGTATAGCTGCCGCACGGGAGTTCGCCAGTGACAAGGTACGTCGCGTTTCGTCACCTTGAGTTAAATGTCGCCGCTACATGTATCTGCGCAATCTGTCGTGGCATCGCATTGTTACGAAACTTACGTTTGCGTGGATCTTCCACTCCCTTCGTGTCACACGTTACGTGCGGCTGTATTATCTTCGGTTACGTCATGTGAAGTCAGATTATCACGTAACTTACGTTAAACTTTGCATGCGTCTTCCACGTGTTTTGCATGCAATCCCCTCCTTGTCACACGTTACGTGAGGCTGTATTAACGTCCGTTACGTCATGTGACGTTAATAGATTATCACGAATTATCGTCCGTGAGGTTTGCATGCGATTTCCTCATATCGTGTACCTCCGTCAGGTGCTCTCGACTGCCGGTACGTGCATGTGGCGTTACATCGTTACGTGTGCATGTGTGTCTCACGTGTTTTTTTGGGGGTTTAACTTCAGTCGTGTCACAAAAACGAGTTATAATTGCACTATGAGGCAAGATACAGTCTGCAATTGCAGTTTGGACACCCTACCTGGCCAGAAAGCTGGGTTGTATAAATTGCCCGAACTGCATTTCGAAACTGTATCTTGGCCCATAGTGCAATTTTAACTCGTTTTTGTGACTCCCGCGTAGTTTCCCCTTCTTTTTTTTTTTTAATGTTTGGACCATTTCTCGATTTATGCGTGTCATCCTTGGGCAGGGGCCATGCTAACTACTCTTCTCTTTATCGTTCCAATTTGAACGGATGTCCCGAAGGACATGTTCCACGTTTGCATGCGGTTTTTAGACGTAACGTTACGTCAGGCTCGGTAATCTGCCGCTACGTTATGCACTGCTACGTCGTTGCGAGCTAACTTCCCTCAGGTTTGCATGCGATTTTCTCACCTCACGATTCGCCAGGCTGTGTTACCTGCCGTTACGTTACGTTATGGCTTTTCATTTCCATTCGATTTTTGATGGATTGTTTAGTATGTATCCTACCTTGTTCCCCCGAATACAACGTACGGTCATTATCGCTGTATTTTAGGCATCTTTCAGTCTAGATACAGCTATGATCACCGTACGTTGAGAGACGATCTGCCACGGGAAGAAATACAGTTTTCCAGCACAAAACAAAACCTATATCAAATATTACGTAGGAAATTTAATAAAAAAGGGATAATTTTTGAAATACCCCTATAAGTTGGGGTATATGCCGAAATGCCCTTAAAAGTGTGGGTAGAGCGGAATGCCCTTTTGGGCCTAATTCTTTGTGTTTTGCCCCTGTCAGGCCTGTGTGCAAATTTGCAATCTTGACGTAGCGGTTGGGGCCTGGGCCTGCACCCTGTTTTACCTGGTTTGCCCTCCATACCAGGTGGGCAACTTTGTGCAATACCCAGGTGCATAGGCGCGGCAGTTTGCCTCCAACTTCCTAAGTCAAAGTCTCTGGCCGTGCCTCAGGCTCAGCAGCTTCGCCCTGGTAAGCTTGCCCATCTCCAACTCCTCCCGCCATTCCCCCAATTCTTCTCATTTGCCCTCTCGGACATCCTCCTGCCTGCCACTCCTCTCTCTCTCTCTCACACACACACACACACACACACACACACACACACACACACACACACAACGCCACTGCTAACAACCCCCCCCCCACACACACAATGGAATGCACGCCCATTATGGGTGTATCTAGACAGAAAGTTGCTTCAAAAGATAACAGCCATAATGGTGGTGCGTCCTCTTCAAGGGCCTGGAAAAAGCTGTTGTCCGCCTTAAGCGGCCATATGGGGCAGAATCCAAGGATGACCCGGGCTGACAGGGGTAAAACGAAAATAAAATAGGGCCTGGGAAAAGTCGGCAAGTACGGGGCCATTTTGCAAAGAGGGACATTACCCGCCAGGGGTATTTTGCAAAGATGGCAGGTCCAATCCATGCCAGGGGCATTTCGCAAAACATGTTTTGCATCAGAGGGGTATTCCGTTCTACACACATCTTTTAGGGGCATTTTGGCATATATCTCAACTTATAGGGGTATTTCGAACATACCAATAAAAAATGAAGTCAGATTCGGCTGTCAGAATTTTAAAAATTGTTTTTTTTTAAATGAAAAACGAAGTCTTTTCTTTCTTTGTACAGTGATTTGGTATGAATTGCCTGGCTCATGTCTAATGCCAACGAGCCTAGCTCAGTTGGTACACACATGAGCTGTTAAAATATAGACTTGAGTTTAAGTCCTGATGGACCTTGATGCATGGAATAGATTTCACTCTGAATTATCCCAAGGCTTTTTGGGAATTTCACTGTGCACCGAGTTTTGTCGAGCCTAGGTTCCACTGCATTTCCTTTTCTGGTACTCCTACACCGGGAAAAAGAAAACAAAGCAACTTCTTTTTCTTTTTTTCTGGCCTTGAGGTATTATCATAGGATTAACCAGCCCAGGTTCAATCTTGTGTCTAATCTGACACCTGGTGGCCTTTTCAGCCCAGGGTGACCTTATTGCCTTCAGGGAACCCCCAATGGGGGACATCGGCCAGGGAACAGCCGGTAGCAGAGGGACCGAGCATTATCTGACTGGCCAGCCGCTGTGCCTCCTCCCCTCCCCCTATGAACATCAGCAGAGACTGCTTTTTAATGTCAATGGGGGGGACCAACGGGCTATGTCTAGGTGGCGGGCGCCAAGCATGCCCAGGAAGGTACATGAGGCCGATGGGGAGAGAACCCAAGACCTCCTGAATGCCACTTGCATGCCTTATTAACTGAGCTAGGACGAAACTTATTTCATCATGCAAAAAGAAAAAGAAATGTGGGTGTTTCTGGACGCCCGCCTTACTGGCAATGAGACGTTCTTGCCGGAAGTCACTCTCACCAACAGGCGATGAATCCCCCCCGGAGCCGGCTGTGCGCGGCCGAGGCTGTGGCCGCCATAGCGGCCAGTCGAAGAAGGGTGCGGGGGGCAGGCTGGCTGGTTGGGCTTGCGCAACCCCAACCCCACCCCCTGGCACAAAAAAAAAAAAAAGCGAATTTCCGTTGGGGGGGGTTTGTTGGTGAAAATGGATTTTCAAAAAAAAAAAAAAAACATATATATATATATTGATTGATTGATTGATTGATTGGTGGTAGGGGGGTCGCCTCCCCCCCTGCACACACACACACACACACACACACATTTGACAAAACAGACACTGGTGTGCTTTTTTATTTTCACTTTTTTTTTTCAATTTCTTTTCACTTTTTTTTTCTCTTCAATTGATTGATTGATTGATTTATTCATTTATCGGTGGGCGCGGGGTCGCTCCCCCCGCCGCACACACACACACACACACACAACCAAAAAAAAAAAAAAAAAAAAATCTGCTTCTTGTTTTTTATTCTTTTATTTCTGGCAGTTTTTGTTTTTTAATTTTTTCAATAGCAAAAAATATGAGGTTTAGGAACAAAAAACTATGGGGTTGTGGGGTTTGAGAAACCCTACAACCCTATATATATGTATATATATCTTTCCTCTTTTTTTTTGTCAGCGGGGAAAAATCCTCGAAGCCCCGCGGCCACGGGTGATACATAGCCAACCGGTTTCTTGCCAGTTTCCTGCTTGACTACCACAGCGAGGTCTAGTGGCAGACATTCACATCCATGAAGTAGGCCAACGAGGCTGCCCGGCAATATCAGAGGATGTGGAGTCGCTTCTCCGACGCCCCATCCTCTTCGCGATCCGATGCCACCGCCCTGTCACGTGTCACCACTCGACGTCATTCCCCTTTCGCTGGCCTCTTTCATCGCTCTGCTCAACCAGGAGCACCATTCTCTTGGTGCTACAATTCTCTTGAGTACGGTGACGACACCACGAGTCTATGACAAATGTAGCCGGCTTTCAGACCACTGAGTCACGGATCACCCTTTTAGCTACCATACCAGAGGGTTCTCAGGACATGACAAACACAGTCCCGTCTGCCCCGCTAGATGTCGAGGTACCGTCCTTTGGGGATGCCCTTGACGACCTCGAGCTTCGGGATGCTATTTACTCCCACCTGGATGACGAGACTGTCTCGATGGCTGATTGCTTCTGGATGGCCATGTTCGCCATGGGTCGTGCTCACAACAGGTCCACAAGCTGGCGCCCATACATTCTTTGTTCCTCAGGTAGATCTCCCACAAGGTTTTGTCCCTCCTTACGAAGCCGTGTCCCTTGATGAGCGTGATACCATCATCTCGACTTCCTACGTTGCCGCAAAGATGGTCATACCTCCTCACGGTGGCCCTACCATTGCTGCCCTCGATT